GGGGGGGGGGGGGGGCAGACCCACCTGCTGTAGCACGGCCTCCTGGGGGAAGTTGAACTCCTTCAGGTCGTTCTCCTCGTCGTCGCTGGACGAGTGCAGATTGTGCATGTTCACCTGTAGGGGGTGCCAGGGCTCGTTAGGGTCACGGTACGGGGGTGGGGGGGGCAGTGAGTCCCATCCCTCTCCCCGATACCTCCCAGCCATGGGGGGCAGCACCGGCCGGGTGGGTCCCTCAGAACATGTGACAGAGCCCCGGGACAATGCTCAGGCGTTAGCCGGCGGAACTCCCTGCTACAAGACGGGGCTGACGCTAGAGCAAGGATGGGCTCGCGGCTTCCACGGTGGTCGGCATGGGGCAGGAAGCCAGCGGGCACGTGGGGCTGACCGGGGGGCTGGCATCGGAGCTGAGAGCTGGACAGACGTGGGGGTAGCACCGGGCAGGGTGGGCCTGTGGAGGTTGGGGGGGGGGGGGGGGAACTCACCAGATCCACCACATTTTTCTTGTTGGTCTCTGCCAGGGGCCCCGAGACGAATTTCTCCCACCGCTCCTGCTCCTCCTCCGGCAGCTCTGCCACGGCAGGGGCACCGGGGTGAGATGGCGCCCCCCATGGGCGGCAGCCCCCCGCCACAGCTCCACACCACTGCCCCGGGGGGCAGGGAACAGCCACAGAGCCGGGCGCCCCAGCCACGCCCTCCCATCCGCCTTCTTTGGGCCCTGGGGGGCAGGGAACAGCCACAGAATCGGGCGCCCCAGCCCCTATCCACGCCCTACCGGCCCTGGGGGGCAAGAAGACACCCCCAGCGCAGGGCGCCCCACTGACCGCCCACTAAGGGTCACCGCAGGCCCACAACCAGGCAGGGAGCCGGGAGGCCGGTTCTGTGCCCAGCGCTGGCCCGGCGCCCCGCGCAGGCCGCCCGCACCTACCTTTCAGCAGCTGCCCCACGAGGGCGACGTGAGGGCCCTTCTCGGAGCTCTGGACGAGGGCGTTGGCGATGCGCGTCAGGTGGCCCATGTACCCCCTCCGCCGGCCTCCGGCTGCCCTGCAACGGGACCCGAGGGCCGGGCGTCACCGCAGCGCCCACCCCCCAGGCAGGGCTGGGCTGCAGGGAGCGGGGCGGGGGGCTCCACAGAGGGCGCTCTCCCCAGCAGTCAGGGCCGGGCACTAGGGGGCACTCTCACACCGTCCACCCCAGCACACGGCTCAAGAGAGCTGGGCTCCACCCCTCTCCCCGGCTCTGGGAGGGTTGTGGGGTCTGGTGGGGCTGGGAGCCAGGACTCCTGGGTTCCCCCCCGTCGTGTGGGGGTGTCTCGCTCCTCACCCCTCCCACCACTTACTGCGTCTGCTCGTTCTCCTCCCAGGCCGAC